CTTTGTACCAGGTCGCTTTTTCATGCACAGTGTCAGAGACCAGATCTATTATTCACAGCCACTATACTGAATCAGAGAAGCTGGAGCTTGGAGCGACCTTGAGGGGTCAGCTTGTGTTCAACTCAGCTACCCCCAACCCTGGGCAGCCCCTCGCCCCATGCTGGCAGCCTGTGAGTGGCAGCTGGGTTCAAGTGTGAGCAGAAAAGGAGAGGCCCAACCTTCACAAACCTCTCATCCTGCTTGGGGTCTAGCTTAAAGCCTTGCTGCTTTAAGTCTTCTCAAGTAAAGAGACTACGTGTATCATGCTGGTTCCGCGTCTGCGTGCCTGGGTTCTGGTGTGGTTAGTAACCAGGCTGTGCTGTTCACTAGATCAATGCGTCAGAGTCATAGTATCTCAGGGCAGGAAGATGGCGGGTATATCACATCATTCATTAATTCATCAGTTCATTCATTCAGTCATTTCATAGTTTAGACAGGCCAGGCTTGCTGTACAGATGGAGAAACAAAAACCAAGAGAGGAGAAGTGACTTGCCCAAGGTCACACTTGCCCAAGGGTAGCAGCAGAGCTTGGATTCAAACCCAGGCCTCCCCAGTCCCTGGCCCCGTCGTCTTGTCCTCCCTCCAGGTGACATGTGCTCTTTGAAGGTGGCGGTAGGAGGAGTAGACAGTTGATGTTTATGTCTGTGATGAATGGAGTTCCGCTGGGCAACTTGATTTTCAGCCTTTGTGACTTTGGGAAGACAGAGGGTGATCAAAAGAATGTATTTTTCTAATGAAACACACCTTTGGAAATCCAATATACCACTCTGTCAGCCTCCCGAGTCAGGGGAGGATGGATGGGGAAGATCTGTTGTGAGCAAGCCTGCCGTTGACAAGTTGATCTAAATGTGTGCAAGCTGTTCGGTCTCTCCGAGCGCCAGCCAGACTCCAGATACGTGCTGAAGAAATCCAAATGCAGAGAGGTGGGGCTCGCACGGCAGTTCTGAGCTGCGGTCCTGGACCCAGGTCACTGGAGCTTGAACCCTGAAAGGCAGCTTGACCACTTAATATCTGTGTGGCTGGCCAGGCAGATACTCTGCTACTCGCTGTCTTGATTTCCTGTTCGGTAAAGCCGGGGTAGTTGAACTTAGCTCATCAGGTTGTTTTGAGGATAAAGGAGAGAAGGGATGTAAGATGTGTAGCGTGGGGCTGGGTAGATACACCGCGAATCCTCCACACTGCTGGCTGTTTTTGTATAACCCCAACCTGTAATGCTGGCTTTTATTAAACACTGTTACCTTCTTTTCCCAAACCCAGAATGGACAGAGCGCGGTCTTCCTGGGGCAGAATTTGCCCCCCTATTTGGTAATCTCAGACACGTGCTCCTGAATTGAGCGGAGGAGTGGGTGTAACCCTCTGAGACCCTCAGTCTTTGCAAGCCCCTTCCTCGTGGGCCCCAGGTTACAAGCTCATAAAACGAGGGAAGGAAGCCCCTTTAGTGTCCCTGTTCCTGGTGTTGGAGTGACATAGGTTCCTGTGTGTCAGGAGCAGTGCAGAAAGCAGGGATGTTAAAAGTGGCTTAGAACCAGGTGTTATGGTCTGAACTCGGCTGACTGGGACACCCATGTGGACAGACTGCTGCTGGGAGGTGGAGGGGATGTAGGGGCACAAATGAGAGAGGGCAGTTTTGTGGATTCTGGTTAGGAGGGGCTTCAGGGAGGTGACGTGTGAGCTCAGCACTGAAGGAAGAGGAGGAGGTTCTGAGTTTTTAATTCAATTTGACAAAGATGGGAAGTTCCCTGAATCACTGCACAGATGGAGACTTAGATGTGGGAAGGACGTTGGCTCCAGGAATGGGGGACTCATAGGTTTGGCAGGGTGGCGGGGGGGAGAGGGGGAGAGAGAGAGAGAGAGTTGTGTGTGTGTGAGAGTGTGTGTGAGTGTGTGTGTGTGTGTGTGTGTGTGTGTGTGTGTGTGTAGCTTGGTTAATGCAGCAAGACAAGGAGGAAGCCCGGGCGCGGGTGGGGCTGGGAGAGAGGTGGCACTGAGCGTATGGCAGGCTTGGCATTTACTGCCTCAAATCAACAAGTCACTGCAGAAGAGGCAGCTAATCTCCATCAGGGGGCCTTCCAGAGGGTGTGATGCTTAAGCTGGAAGCTGAAGGCCTGGGGAATGGCTAAACTAGGCGGGGGGACTTGCAAGCACAGAATCCCAGGGCTTGCAGAGGATGGAGGGAGGACAGCTAGAGGGACAGACAGCTTTGTCGCCCTGAGTCGAGGGTGAGAATGGAAGCGGGTTGTAGAGATAATGCCCGGGCAGAAGTTGGGGCCAAATCACTCAGCACCTCACAAGCCCTGCATCCGCTAGGATCCAAGACAGGTCACAGGCAAGGGGTGGATGAGATCGGGGTTCCTTCGGTTCAAAACCCCATCCCCAGGAGACTCGAGCTGCCTGGGCTCTCCCCTCTGCACATCCCAGCAGACGATGCTGTTCAGTGGATTGGCCCTTGATGGTGCCATCTGTTTACCTGGGCACAGAGGTTGCCAGTCATCACTTAGATTGTTCAATGCTCATAGAGACACCCCTGCCCCTCAGCCCTGCGCCTTGCTGGGCCCAATGCAGATGTGTGGCTCGTTCTGTGGAATCCATTCTGCACTACAAGAGTCTGCTATTACGCAGTGTTTATGGATGGCTGAGTCTAAAATACCCATTCTGGAGTCCGCTGAAGGATGAAATTCCTTGTTACTTTCATAGGTTCTCTTGTCTTATTTTTCTCCCCCTGTGGAAGAACATAAAGCATTCGTATTTTTAGCTTAAAGCCTGGTCATTTTTCTAATCATACCTGAGTGAGAAGGAAAAGCCTTTTAGGGGGAGATGGTTTGATGAAGACAGTCCCAGCCTGGAAGGAGTCCCCTAGAGCAACCCCCTTCCAGCCGGGGTCTCTAATGTGTCATGTTTCAGCCACATCCGGACACTGAGAGCGGCAGCTCAGACTGTCTCAGCATTTGTCAATGACACTGACACCCACCAGGACTCAGGACTTAACTGCTGGGCAGAGGTTGCCATGCAGCCCAGCCTAGACGCCCACCCAAGAAGGAAATAGGACCGGGGCTGAAGACTTGAGTCCTCGTTCCCCTCTCTCTCTGGTTGGCACGTCAGTGCTCTTGGGGATTTTATAAAATGTCCCAACGCTCCCTCATTCTGGACGGAAATACTTTGAACCCCACTAGCTGCACCTCTGTCCCACGTCCGTCATGATTCCCCGCGGCCCAGCAGGTCCTGCCTTCTCCTTGTTTGCCAAACTAGCCTTTTCTGCTGGTCCCAGGTAGAATCATGCACTCCCTGCCTTTGACCTCCAGCACAGCACCTGCCACGCACTGCGGCATTCATGCCCTTTTATGCCCGGTGCCGCCATCCTTTATGTCTTACCAACGTTTGGATCTTCTACGTAGTTTCACCTGACACCACAAAGACACGTGCTGAATGAATGAACACATGAGTGAATGGATGGAGAAGCACTTCCACCAACAGCCTAGAACCTGTTTCACTGTAAAGACTGTACCTAACCCACCTGGAGCATCTCCCCTTGCCCACGTGTACATCACTGTGCCGTGTACACAGAATTTCACCTACGGCGTCTCACTCAGCAATGATATCATTAGCAACGACGTTAGCGTACCCCACCCTGTGTGATGGAGTTTGAACTACATGCAGCAGGGCAGTGAGACAGACACAGACCTCGTCCTCTCGGAGCATATAGTCTGGGTGGAGGTGGCCAATTGCACAGGGTACGGGGGTAGCAGAGTTCCAGGACAGGCAGAATGCAGGATGCTTTGGGAGCTCAGGACAGAGTCTCTCACTCACACTGGTAGTTCCTGGAGGGATCCCCAGGGAAGGGCTTTTTATACAGAGACAGGAATTCCGGCCGAAAAGCATGCAGAAGAGTTCCAAGCAGAGGGAGCACATGCAGGAAGGGCTGGGGACCCAGCGTGCCTCTGGAGAGTATCCAGGCTGGAGGCTGTGGGCTGCTTTGATCTGGGTGGTTACAGCAGACCTGCTGTGTCTACTTCACCTCTGGATGCCTTCCCTTCCCTCGGTCTCGTGCCGAAAGGCCAGAGGAAGCCCCTTTGCTCTCGGGGTGGGGGACCAGCCATGGGCAGTGCCCTGCATGCCTGCTCCTGAGGCTTCAGGGTGTGTCCTGGAGGGATGTTGTCCTCCTCAGTGAGTCAGCCCCATTGTCTCATGTCGTCTCTTCTCTGAACATTGTCCAGGCAGCCGCCCAGCCCACCTGTGACTTGCTAATCTCCCCGCAGCCCCCGAGGCCTCCTGGCATCACAGGGTACCCAGAAGGCAGGCACATGTGGCTGAACATCTCTTGCTATTGATACCAGTTTCAGTCTGTCACTTAACCTCTGAGGCTTTCTTCTCCCTTAGAATGGGAATACTGCACCCACTTCCCTGGCTTGTTTTGAGGATTAAATACAAAAGCACGTAGTACGTGCTTTACGCCACCGCTGCTTTCCCTTCCTCTCCATTAACAGAATACCCAGAGCTCGTGTACTGATCATTCAACTCTAGCTAATCACGATGCCAGCACTTACAGCACGTCAGCACCTTGCCATGCACTTTGCCACACTGCACCCTCTGGCGATGTTGTAATGCCCACTTGACAGATTTGGAAACAGGGGCTCAAAAAGGTAGAGTTACTTTCCTAGAGTCCCAAACTAGTCAAACTAGTAAGCTGGGAACCTGGCCCTGGCAGTGTGATCCCAGAGCCCTCGCTCCTCAACACCTCCCCAGACCCCGTCCCAGGCCCTCCTGAGCCGGCTTGGTGCAGAGGAGCTGGCGGGGCCCCGTTCATACACCTTCCAGTCCTTCTTGAGAAGGTTGCTAACACTCGGCCAGGGAGTGTTAGCAGCTAACACTCGGCCAGGGAGAAGCACACAGCTGTAAATAACCATCGTAGGAGAACAGGAGGGCCGTTCTTGACCCCATATCCTGACAAGTCGTTCTCTCCCCAGGCTCCCCTTTAACTTGGAGGAACGGGAGCAGGCTCGTCAGATGCAAGCCTGCGTACCGGGATTCAGCCAACAGACACGGGCAGTTGTTGATCACATCCAACGCGTCCCTAGGCCCATGGAGGAGGCGACCGCATGTGCTACCAGCATCACAGTTCCCTCCAGGGCGAGGCTCCAGAGCTTTTCCAAGGGAATCCTGAGGTGGTCTGGCTCAAAGCCCGGGTGGCCTGTCTGCTTCTTCCGAAGAGAGGATGATGGCCGGGAGTGCAGACTTCAATGCCTATGGAAGCCAGGTGGGTTCCTACGTCGCCTCACTTCATTATCCCATAATACCCACTAGGGACGCTTTATAGATGAACACGCTGAAGCTCTAGGGGGTAATGATGTCACTGTCAGTCACACAGATTGTACTGGAGTCTAGATTCGAACTTGGGTCTGTCTGGACTCGAATCTATGCTGGTCTGCCTGTTTCCCAGCTGGGCACCTTCTTGGGGGTACATTGTGCACGCCGAGATTGAGGTAGGACCGCCGGCTAGGAGCAGAGGCTGCCAGAGGTGCTTTCAAAGACCAGAGCAAGATACGGGCAGTGTTCAGGTGCAGGCGTCAGAGGCACGCTCCACCTCTCCATCTCACCAAAGCCTCACGCCACCCTGTAAAGTGGGTGCTGTCATTGTGCCCATTTGACAGTGGAGGAAACTGAGGCCACTGTGGAATGAGAAAGGCTGCTCAGTGAGGCAAGAATGGCGGGGCTCAGGTGAGGAATCCGCACTGGAAGGTCTCCGCCAGGTGTCCTGGCGGTGCAGGGTGAATGAGGGAGGCGACTGCTGTCTGTGCTTTGGAACTGAGGCACTGGAGCGGAGACTCATGAACGAGACTGCTGCCTGGGAGCAGAGCGCATGTCCCACAGCGGGGACAGTCAAGGTGAGGGTAGCGGCAGCTTTATCTCTAGGGAGGCGGTTATCCCAAGACTCAGTCTGGGACACGGGGTGGGGCTGCCTTTGGAATGAGGCAGAGCCGAGTTCTCAGGAGGAGGCCTGGGGTCTGCACCCCCCCTGCAGGGAGTGAAGCCCACCTGCAGAGAGAGGACAAGGGGGCAAGTCAGCCCCAGGTGGGGGGCCTGCCCTTCTTCCGTGGGCTGGGCTGAGCCTCTCAGTTGGGTCCATCAGCCCATGAGTGGGGCGGTGGAGAGGGGTGGGCAGGGCGGCAGCCGGCAGACAGGATGCCCCCATCCTCCAGCTCGCTGCTAAGTGTTCCATTTCTCCCATCTCCTGCGAAGCAGGTGACTGCTGGCTTCTTCAGGGGAGTGGGCCTCACTTCGTGGCTGGGCACCGCATGACCTGAGGCACCATTCGTGCTTCCAGAAAAATGCCGGTTGGGGGACAGGGAGGGGAGGGAAGGAGGAAGATGAGCAGCCCTTCCCACCGCCTGGCTGAGCACTGCTCAGGTCTCCCGTGGTGAAGAAGAAAGGCTCGGGCTGCCTTTTCACAAAGGGCTCTGGGTTTTCCCAGCACATGACAGAACGCCCCAGGGTCTCTGTCCTCTGGAAGAGAAATGCACAAGACATCAGAGGATGGGGGTTAAGTGGGAAGGAGGGGGCAAAGTCGGAGAATCAGAGAGCAGCAGCCATCCCTGGGCAGAGCCCCTGCTGGCCATGCCCACACGGAGCTGGCTCCGCACTCAGGGTTCCGCACGGAGTCCATTGCTGAGCCTTGTGAGACATAGCCTCTCTATCCCGTTGGCTAGAAGTAATTGCTCTGCACCAGGCCCTGCCACTGGGAGGAAGGGGACTGGCATTAGGTAAGCTGGGTCTGCATGGGGGCTCCGTGGAAGAGGAGGCATTGAGCTTGGTCTGCATTTCCTTTGTAAAAGGGTTTTTCCTCCCATGTAGGGCATGCCCTCTTGTCTGGTTCTGGCTCCCATCTATCACAACCCTAGGATCTTCCCTCCTCTGGCCACACTTCTGCTTCTTGCATCTTGAATCTCAATCTCTCTCTCTCCCCCTCTCTCCAAATCACTCTGACCACAACCTACAAAAGTACTCAACTCCAACCCACGTTCAACAACAGAGAGCACCTTCACAACCTCCCAGCCTTGCATCTACCTACCTCCCTTTGAGACTTCTCTCCTTGCCTCATTCACTTCCCAGTCAATCATCTTAAAAGAACTGTCCGCATTTATTTGCTCCATCATATTCTATTCTTGTGTCACTATCACTTTTACCACCCAACTCTATGGAAACGGTTTTCTAAAAATACCAGGGGACCCCCTAAGTGTTACATCCTAATGACTCACCACTTCTTATCCTACATTAGATGCTGTTGACTATGAGTTTCTGCTCCCAGCCCCTTTCTCCTGTGAATCTGGTGACCCGTCCCTCTTCTGGCCCTTCTACGTCTCTGCTCGTTCCCTTGGGTGTTGATGGTCTTCAGGTTTTTGTCCTCATTCCTCTGTTCTCACTGTCTTTTGCTGGAACAACCTCTGGAAGCCTACGGGCTTCTTCCACCATCTACTTACACACTTAGGACACCAAAGTCTCTTTCTCCTCAGCTCCACTCGGAACTTCACATTGATGTGTGGCTCTAGGGGAGCCGGAGTGATGCTTCTGATGAGCCAGGATTGGGGACTGCCAGGATGGGTGTTTCAGAAAGATAGACTAATATGGGAATTAAATGATTGTTGTGAATGTAGGCAAAACAATAGCCTTTTAATTTAGATAGGAAGCAGAACTCAATTAGAAACTCATAGCCACATAGTTTTATTTGCCCACTTTCTAGCCTGCACCTTTGTCATAAACTAGTTGACTATACATGCATGGGTTTATTTTTGGGTTCTCTGTTCTGTTCCATTGATCTATGTGTCAGTTTTCTATGCCAATACCATACTGTTCTGATTTTAATAGCTTTGTAATATAATTTGAAATAAGAGAGAGGAATGCCTCTAGCTTTGTACTTTTTTCTCAACATTGCTTTGGCTTATTTGGGGTCTTTTGTGATGCCATATAAATTTTAAGATTGTTTATTTCTATGAAAAATGCCATTGGAATTTTAATGGGACTCTGTAGATTGCTTTGGGTCGTATGGACATTTTTTTTAAATTAATTTATTTTTTGGCTGCGTTGGGTCTTCGTTGCTGCATGAGGGCTTTCTCTAGTTGCGGCGAGCAGGAGCTACTCTTCATTGTGGTGTGCGGGCTTCTCATCGCGGTGGCTTCTCGTTGTGGAGCACGGGCTCTAGGCACATGGGCTTCAGTAGTTGTGGTGCGTGGGCTCAGTAGTTGTGGCTCATGGACCCTAGAGAGCAGGCTCAGTAGTTGTGGTATATGGGCTTAGTGGCTCTGTGGCATGTGGGATCTTCTGATACCAGGGCTCAAACCCGTGTCCCCTGCATTATCAGGCAGATTCTTAACCACTGGGCCGCCAGGGAAGTCCTGGACATTTTAACAATATTAATTTTTCCAATCCAGGGGCATGGAATATCTTTCCATTTATTTGTGTCATCTTCAATTTGTTTCATCAATGGTATATAGTTTTCATTGTACATACAGGTGTTGCACTTATTTGGTTAAATTTATTCCTAGGTATTGTATTCTTTTTGATGCAGTTGTAAATGGGATTGTTTTCTTCATTTCTCTTTCTGATAGTTTGTTGTTAGTGAATAGAAATGCCACAGATTTTTATGTTTGTTTTATAACCTACAACTTTACTGAATTTGTTTATTAGTTCTGACACCTTTTGGTGGAGTATTTAGGGTTTTCTGTATATAATATCATGTCATCTGCAAATAGTGATAGTTTTACTTTTCTTCCAATTTGGGTGACTTTTATTTCTTTTTCTTGCCCAATTTCTCTGGCTGGGACTTCCCATATTATATTGAATAAAAGTGGCAAGAGTGGGCATCCTTGTCTTGTTCCTGACCTTAGAAGAAAAGCTTTCCTCTTTTTTACCTTTGAGTATGATGTTAGCTGTAACCCAGGTTTTAAAAAAAATTTTACTGTAGTAAAATACATATAACATAAAATTTACTATCTTAACCATTTTTGAGCGTAAAGTTCAGTGGTATAAGTCCATTCACATTGCTGTGCAACCATCACCACCATTCTCCTCCAGAAGTCTTTTCATCTTGCAAAACTGAAACTTTCTACCCGTTAAATAACTACCCCTTTTCCCCTTTTCCCTAGCCCGTGGCAACCACTGTTGTACTTTCCGTGTCTGTGAATTTGATTACTCCGGGTAGCTCCTATAAGTGGAATCATGCAGTTTTGTCTTTTTATGAATGGCTTATTTTACTTAGCATGATGCTCTCAAGTTTCATCCGTGTTGTAGCATGTGTCAGAATTTCCTTCTTTTTTAAGGTTGAATAATACTCTATGGTATATATAAGCATGCACCCAGGTTTTCTTTTTTTTTTTTTTTAACATCTTTGTTGGAGTATAATTGCTTTTCAATGATGTGTTAGTTTCTACTGTATAACAAAGTGAATCAGCTATACATATATCCCCATATCTCCTCCATCTTGCGTCTCTCTCCCACCCTCCCTATCCCACACCTCTAGGTGGACACAAAGCATGGAGCTGATCTCCCTGTGCTATGCGGCTGCTTCCCACTAGCTATCTGTTTTACATTTGGTATTGTATATATGTCCATGCCACTCTCTCACTTCGTCCCAGCTTACCCTTCCCCCTCCCCATGTCCTCTGCACCCAGGTTTTAACTGATGAGCTTCAAGTTGGAAGCTGGTTTGAGGTCTTCTTTTGTGTCTAAATATGAGTCTTATAGCTCAAAGGAGTTTTACAGGAAAAAAACATGAAGATTGAAAAGTAGATTCCCCCTCCCCCCAACTACACCCATCTTTATGGCCTTTATGTTCACTGAGTTTATTTTCAATCCTTTCTCCCTGAGACTTCAGTAAAATCTTTTCCTCTAATTATGCTAAAGGAAACAGAGGAAAACATGGAAGCCCAGACTCAGGTCTTAGGTGGGAAGCAGGACGCCATGCCCCAGAGTGTGTTGTAATGAGGTCAGTGGGTAGCAAACTGAGTTACCTGCAGGGAAATGGCAAAATGGGGTCAGAGCTTTGGGCCCCTGGGTCCTGACATCCCACCCATCCACGGGGGTGACTCTTGTAGTTTTGGCCAGCTCTTCCTTGTACATACAGAGTGTTGAAGACTATGCTGTGTTTTTATATTTTCTCAGCTTGTGGCATGCAGGTGGGCAGGAAGAATTCAAACCACCCCTCACCTTGGGAATTCTTCCCCTCCTTGGGTCAGAACCACGCCTTTGATACATTGCTGTTTGG